CAGTCTTCCATTCAGTACTCCTTCTGGGCCCCCTACTTCCAGCCACGCTTTGCAGCTCCATCCTGTTTCGCCTGCTACATTTCCCCAGCTCCCTGGCAATGCTGCCCCCACTCGCCCTTTGCCAGCTGTGCTCTGGCCCCTTCCCTCCCACCCCATCTTCACCCCATGGTGCTGATGTGTACTGCCTGGTCCCCAGGATAGTGGATGGCATTGAGGACTCTGGCAGCACAGCCGAGGCCCCCACCTTCCGGTTCAGCAGACGGCCTGAGCTTCCAAAGGCTCGCTCCCAGGTCCCTCCTGCAGGTAAGAGCCTCATAGTAAACTTGAGCGCACAGCTAGCTACTCATAGTCAGAGCCTATCACATAGTAGGTGCCATGCTTAGAACGCAAGTAGAAGCCAGACTTGGCCCCTGCTCTTGGTGAGCCCTGGGCCTGGTGGTGGGTGAGACACCTGTGGGCACAGGTAAATGGTGTCAGCTGGCCACGACCAGACGAGAACAGGACTCTGGGAGGGTGCCCCAGCCGTGCCTCCTGGGGGAGATGGATGCTGGGTTACAGAGTTTCCTACCTCTTTGTCTCCAGAGCTCCCTCTCCCCTTGTTGTCTGCCTGCCCAGTGCAGGGGTGACCCAGCATCCCCTCCCCTACAGGGACCAAGCCCAGTCGGGAGTTGGCCATGGAAGCTGAAGAAGTCCAGGAGAAAGTCTGCAGGCTGAACCAGGAGGTGGGTGCAGCCACTGGTCTGGGACTTGTGTCCCAGCAGGAAGTGGGTCAGGTTCTGCAGCCAGAGTTCATGGGGCAGACATTTCTGCTTGCTGATGCTTTGGGCAAAGCCCTGAACTAAATGGAAGATGAGCAAAAAACCCATATATTCTCCCCAACGTGGTCAGAAGCAAGGAGAACCTGATAGTGCCGACTGCAGCCCCTGGCATATCACCAGTGCCCAGGACTAGTTGGTTCCCTTCCTCTCAATTGGCTCCAGGGTGCCAACCAGGAAAGCAGACCCAACTGTCTCCACCCCTGTGGTGGCACAGGTTTCTCTTGCCACCAAGCCAGGGTGCTCACCCCAATGGGGCTGGGACAGGAGACAGGGAGGAGGTGAGGACCTAGAGGTAGGCTGCTCATCCTGGCTGGGAGGAGGCTGGGTCCTGTATTCTGAGCTGCTGCCTTTGCCTGCTTGATCTCAAGGGACCTCAGAGCTGTCGCCACAGAGTAGAGCCCCAGGGAGTCACTCAGTGGCTTTTCCTGTACTCTGATATACAGCGGATGGCCCATAGGGGCCAGGTTGAAGAGCATGTCCAGCTTGTCCTCGCTGCAGTCCTTCTAGGCCAGTGGGTCACTATCTTGGCTGTTGGCCTAAACCCACCTGAGAACCCTTCTTACAAAAATACACATTCCAGGGTGCCCCCTGATTGGGAATGTCTGGGGATGGGACCCGGAAATCTGCATTTTGACAAGCATCTTGGTGGACTCTGTGCTCACCAAAGTGTGGACAGCCGCTGACGTGGATGCTGTGGCCTGGGTGATGGAGTCCCTGAGAGTTGGGGCCACACCCCTTGCCCCAAGCTGGTGGCCTCTTCAAGCACCTGTTTCAATATCTTGCAAGAATTGCGGGTATATCTGCAACTGAGCAATATCTACTGTCCCACATTCCTTTTGGAAAGAGCCTGGAGTACTTCTACTTAGGCTCAATGCCCTGCCTTCTTCCCAGGGCAGCAGTGGGAAGAGAGGTGAAAGAGCTCTGCAAACTGTAGAGGGGCGTTCACAGGGTTGCTGATGAAACAGCTTGCTCTGTTCTCCACAGATCTGCCGCCTCAACCAGGAAGTGGCTCAGCTGAGCCGGGAGCTACGCCACATGATGGGGCTGCTGCAGGCCAGACTGGGGGTCCCACGACACATGGCAGGCTCAGCTTGGCCCCCCCAGTTTCCTTGCCACCAGCAGAGGCCAGCCTGTGTGTCTCCATGTAGCTCGCTCCCACCACCTGGCCTCCAAGATACTACGCTGGCTGAAGTCCACTGCTCAGCTGGTGTGGGAGCAGCAGGCATGCTGGCCACGCCCCCGAGACCTTCCATGCTGCCCCCCAGCACCTCAGAACCTGACCCTCTGGGAGTCTCCCTAATGCCAGAGGCCTCTGCCCAATGCCCCGGCTTCTTGAGGCCCAGCTTCCGATCCAGATCTGACACCTTCCACTGACCCTGGCCCCGGGGCCCAGGCCTGTCTGGGGTGGGCATTGCTGCCTGCCGTCTGAGGAGGAGCTGGGCCCCTCGGCCTCCTGCCTGGAGGTCAGCAGCCTCCAGCTGGCCTGGATGGCTCCAGATTCTCTGGACTTTGTAACGAGGCCTGGCTGCCTCTGATCCCAGATCCCGTCATCCGCTTCACCAAACCTCCCTCCATCTCCTCCTCTGTGAGGAGGACTGAGGCCCTGGGATCCAGCCGGCTTGGGATGCACTGTGGTGCCCACAGGGCCCAGGCATGCAGATGAGATGTCCTACTTCCTACCCCAGGACCTGGAGGCAGGTAGAAATTGGGGAACAAAGGGGAGGGGTAAGGGCCTCAGATCCAGCCTGGGAACCAGAGGCTGAGGCAAGACCAGGCAGAATGTTGCCATTTCTAGCCAAGACTCCAGGGATCCCATTCTCTATCTCTTTTAGCAATTCTGAGACCTTGTGGCTCAGCCCCTCGGTCTCTACTGTAGCCTTAGCCTTAGTGGGCGGGCAGTGTCACCTCTGGAGGGCTTGCTTGAGATCCCTCTTGGCCTATGACCAACCTAAGAAGTCAAAGTTCTTAAGCCTCCCATCCTCCAAGCAGAGCAGAGGGGGCTGCCTCCTCCTGCAGCCTACCCCCAGGAAACAAACTCACTGTCCCAGATATATGTATTTTTTTTGGCTCTTTTTATGGCCTCTTCCCTGCCCCCATGTATGAATTGGTTGTCAGTGTTAAACTTCTGAAGTAGTGACACAGAAGTCCATGTATTGCAGTCTCTCTAAATAATTTGGAGGACCCTGCCTGGGCCAGTGTTCCATCTGGCAGTAGCAGGCAGGTGCTGGCCTCTTCCGAGGTGACCTGCAGTCCCCCCCGCCCCACTGTTTCCGATCACCACCTGCCATGCAGCTTTCTGCCCTCATTTTGCACTCTGTGGTATCTGCACTCCCTGCCTTAGAGTACACCCCCATACCCCTGTACCCATTTCTACCTCTGAGCCTGGGTCTCTCAGCATCTCCATGTGTCTCCCTGCAGGCTGTCGTGCAAGGTGGTCCCTTCTGCTACCAGCAACTCAGGATACCCCCAGCAGCACTCCCTGCCCCATACCCCTGCCCCCAGCCTCGACTCAAGCCTCCAGCCCCTCCAACATGGTCTCACTCAGGGCCTGGACATCTCAGAAACCTGCCTTGGTCTCCAGCTTTCCTCCCCTTCTCGACATACCTGGGACTAACTTTTGGATAGTAAATAAACTTTATTTTCATAGTTACTGGCTCGGGCTGTGCCTGGGAATCTATCTGGGAGTCAAGGCCTTAGAGGAGGAGGCAGCCCTGCAGCCGTTCCCTCACCGGCCCCCAGGGGCTCGGCTGCTGTCTCTAGGAAGGGCAGAGGCGCCAAGCAATCCACCTGGCACCACATTCACGCCACCAGGGGCCTCAGGGAGGAGGAAGCAATCTTAATGAGTCTCTACAGGCCTGTTAGGTGCCCTCCTCCAAGCTCACAGTCATAGCCACAGAAACACACGGGTATGTGAGAGGGACCGAGTCCTGGCTACCTGGCTTTCGCTTCTCTGCTGACTGCTGCCAGGAGGAGGGGGCACTATGGGTATCACAAGAAAGAGGAACCAGGGGCCAGCATTGTGATGGAGCATGCTAAGCTGCCACCGGCAGCACTGGCATCCCATGTGAGTACTGGTTTGAGTCCTGGCTGTTCCAGCTCCCATCCAGCTCCCTGTTAATGTGCCTAGGAAAGCAGTGGAAGATGGGCCAAGAGCTTAGATCCCCTGCATCCACACAGGAGACCTGGATGAAGCTCCTGGCTCCTATCTGGTCCAGCCTTGGCCATTGTGGCCATTTGGGAAGCAGCAGATGGAAGATCTCTCTTTCTCTCTCTCTCTCCCTTTATATATAAAATTCTGATTTTTAAATAAATGAATATTTTAAAAAAGAAAAGTAAAGGAGGCATCCTGACTCCCAGGTAGAATGGGACGGAGGCACATTTTTGTGACAGGCTGTCCCAGATAGGCAGAATCTCCAGCTTAGCCTCCAGGTAGGACTGGTGAGGGCCCGTGTCACAGGCACCATGGCCACAGCTGCCACCCGGGTAAGCTTTGAGCCCACAGGAGCTTTGAGCAGTGTCCCTGGAGAGTGAGATAGGGAATGGGGGTGGGAGGGGGAAGGGAGGAGGAGAAGCAGTGGCTCTGAACCTGAGGGAGGAGAAACAAATGTCTCCATGTACCTGAGCGTGGGGGATTCCAGCCTACAGTTAGGGATGGAGCGATCCAGCTCTGCGTTTATTTCCAGTTGGGAGTGGGCGGAGGCCGAGGCTGAGGTGGTCTTGGGTGTTTAGGGGGCCACACCAAGGCAGGGGGGTTACCTAGTGTCCCATCGCAGAATAACCACGGGCTTCTCCCAGGACACGGGGCTGACCCACGCGGCCTTCCGTACATATTCATTCACACCACGTTTGTCCCCCTTCCCAGTGCTACACACAACGCCCTCTGCCTTCTGCCAACCGTCCATCACCACCTTCCCCCGAGACTCCTTGGAACCCCGGCCCAGGCCAGCCCCGCCTCGCCCGAGCCGGCTCCACCCTTAAGGCGCCAGTCCCAAGCAGGAGCTGGCGCCTCCCGGCGCTGCAAACTACAAATCCCGTCGTGCCTCGCGCGCTCTCGCCCTCCTCTCCCACTCCCCCTATGGACGCAGCGTGTGAGTCGGCCAAGAGTGCCTCCCATTGGTTTTTCCGCCCTGTCAATCACCTGGGCGTGAGAGGGGCGGGGCCGAGGTAGAGATCCGGATCCGGAGCGGCTGAAAGGCGGAAGTGGAGGCCGGAGCCTGGGACACCGCTGGGGGGGGGGAGAGGAGCGAAGCCTGTCCGAGCCGCGGCCCCGAGTAACGCCGCCGTCCCCGGAGCCACCGTGAGTATGCCGGTCTCGGGACCCCGTGTCTCGCCTGCCCAGTTGCTTTTGTGGGGTAACCCTTCGTCCCGCCTAACCCTAGCTTAGGGGGATCCTGACCCCTCCCCCGACCCGTAGCCCCTTCTTAGGGTGTCGGGCCAGGGGAGATCCCTGCTGTGCTGGACTTACCTGCCCTCTGTGAACCTCGGAGAAACCCCCGAGGCTCTCCTCTGGCCTGTCCAGCCCGGGTGTGGGAGAGAGGGAACCCCAAGTTCCGCTCCTCCTGCTCCCAGGATCGGACGGTCGTTGGCAGGTGGGAAGGGAGACTTCCCCCCCGACCCCGTTCTTGTGGAGGCGGCGGGGAGGGCAGGCTGTCGCCCCTGTCCTCTCCTCCCCGTCCCGCCGAAGCAGTTGTCTCCTGCAGCCCTGGAGAAAAAATTGTCCCGATTGCCTTTTTGTGGGGGAGGGAGGGAGGGAATGCCCAGGAAGGCGATTCCACACGCGTGGAAAGTAGGTTTGCTCCCACCACTCCTGACCACTTCGGGCTGTCCGCGGAGTTGGGGAGTGTGGCTCACTTCTGGGAACCCAGCCCTCCCAGCCCTGGCCTTCTCGGGAGGCTGTGCTCTCAAGTGAGTCCCCCTTCCTGCCTCTGAAGAATTTAGCTGAGCTTTGCTCAATCCCAGCTGCAGATCACAGATCAGGGTGGACCTGCCCCTTCATTATCTTCTCTTTCCCCTGCTCCTCCTCCTTTGCTCCAGGCCCAGCCCTGTCCTTCCAAAGCATGGGAGTGAGTGTTCTCCCAGCTGCCCCAGAGGCGAGACCACAGCCAGGCATGAGTGGAGCGGTTTGGGTGGGATCCATGGCCCATGGATACACGCACATCCGCATGTGTGTGCAACAGGTCCATGCCACACCATGGGCTCTGGTTGGTCTTCTGGGCTTGAACTGATGAATGATCCCGGTGATAGCCCTGGATTCTTAGTGTGCTGGTTTCTGGAGCCTGAGAAACTCCCAGGCCTGCCAGAAGGGGCTGGTCCCTCCCTCCGTCAGCTGTCCTGCTGGACCTTCCTACCCTGTTGTTTCTGTGTGATGTGGCCAAAGTACAGGCCAGAGGCTGTGTCTTCATGAGGAGTAGCTTGACCGCGGCCACGGCTGGCCCTTGCTGTCTGTGGTGGAGCCGAGCTGTGCTTGGCACTCCCTGCACTCCTGTGCCACCCTGCCCGTCTTGGCTGACCTTGGTTGCTCCTGCCCACAGGTGTTTGAGATTCTTTTGGCTTTGAGATCTCTTCCGGCATCTGATTCCTTCAGTCTGCTGAGCTCCAGCTTGGATGTGCTTGTTTCACTTGTTCATTGGACAGCAAAGGAAAACTCTTATTGGGCTCACCAGCTGGATGGCAAGTGCTCTGTCTGTGGGCGTGGCGGAGACTCTGACTACCAGCCTGGTCTCCATGACTCGGCTTCCCAGGACCTGGGGGGAGTTCCTCAGGAGTCCTCCTCAGGATGACTCCTCCCCAGCATCTAGGCCGGCTCTGCCAGCTCCAACCTGGAACCGGGCTGTGAAGCTCCCATCGCAGGAGGGCGAGGAAGGCTTCAGAGTCCCAGATGGCTGTGTCACTCCAGGCAGAAGTGGGAGCCTGCCTGGCCCTGGGAGGAGGAGGGGGACTCTGTGTGGTGTAGAAGCCCCTCATCTGTGGCACTTTTCTTTCCTCCCCTTGTTGGCTGTCCCAGCAAGCTGGCTGGCCTCTTTCTGTTAGATACTAGAGAGGTGCAGTAACTACTAATTCCTAGAGGTTAGGGTAAAGTTGCAAACTTGATTCCGCACACAGGGCTCCCCAGTATCAGGAATATAGTGAGATCTGTGTTCCCTGTTTGGAGAGGTACTGAAAGATGTCGGGGAGATTAGCAAGTGGTAGAGCCGAGACATGGGTTCTGGGCTCATATGTGATGTCATCTTTCCTAATAATGGGCCCTTAGATGAATGAACAGGTGGGGTAAGCCATGAAGGACGCAAGTGCAAGCGCTGAACCTTCTTGCCTTTGGCATCGCTGGCTCTGCTTGGCTTCAATTGCTTCCCCATCTTTACCTCGGCCTCCTGTCCTCCTTCTTGGCCTGTGGGGATCTTGACAGGAGTCAGTGGTGTTCAGGATCCAAATGTTGGCTATGGCTAACGTCTGGCTGCCAGTGGTGTCTTGGGAACCTGGAAGTGGTGATGGTTAGAAAATGAAAGGGAAAGTGAGTGGGCTCAGTGGTGTTGCGGGATGGGGATGAGGGAGAAGGGACCCAGCAGACGGGGGTATCTCTGATGCCCCTTAGGTGCCACCTACACTTACAGGTGGGAAGAGGAGCTGTCTGCTGGGGCCCCTCTCACTGGCACTTACATGGAAGCAAGAACAAGATCATGACTTTAAATTCAGCCCTACCAAGCATGCACTTGTTAGAAAGAGGCTTCTTCCCATAACCTTACCCAGCGCTCAGTGTGTCAGTGTGTGTGTGTGTCAGTGTGTGTCTGTTAGTGTGGCAGTGTGTGTCTGTGTGTTAGTGTGGCAGTGTATGTCTATGTGTACCAGTGTGTCACTGTGTGTTAGTGTGTCTGTGTGTGGCAATGTGTCACTGTGTGTCTGTGTCAGTCTGTCGTGTGTGTCTGTGTATCAGTGTATGTGTGTCTGTGTATCAGTGTATGTGTGTCTGTGTTTGGGGGCACGTCACTGGAGCCTTGCAGGACCTGAGTTGTCAGCTGGACTCCCCCCATTTTCCAGTTTGTGTGACCTTAGGCCTGCTTAGCTCCTCAAGCTGCTGCTTTCAGCGAATGAGGAATACTTAGTATCTTGTGTAAGGAAACAAAGGGTCAAGGACCTGCCCCTGGCCAGGCTCAGGATAGATTGTTACTGACTAGCAGTGGCCTCAGGTGGGTGTAGTGTCCGATACTCTGCTGGACGTTTCCCATACTGTCTTGCATCACAGATCCTGGACAAAATTGGTGTGGCATTCCTGTTTCGCAGAAAGGCACGCCAAGGCCAAGGCTGCTTCCCCTGCAGGGACTCTCCGGACTCCGTGGGGCCGTGTGCTGAGGATACCCAGAGCCACACACTGAAGAACAAAGGCATCTTTGCTTCTTCCAGGCCCTCTGACACTCAGTCAGCATCATTTCCAGAGGCTAGCAGTCCTGGCCCTAGTGTGGATTAGAATGCACAGTTTGGGTGAATTTAAGCTAAAACGGGAAACTTGAAGATAATGTTTTGGTTGTGACTGGCAGCTTTGGTTTGGGTTCCCAGATTCCTGGAGTTTTATGTTTGCTTTCACGGACCTGAGTCAGGGCTGCTTCTCCTGGGCTTATTTGACAGGCACTGCTTCAGGTAGAACTTGGCAGAGAGGACATCCCCATGTCTGCTGAGTGCTTGTGTGAACCTTGGCAGAGGAGAGTTGGAGTATTTTTTTTTTTAAGATTTATTTATTTATATTGGAAAATCCGATTTACAGAGAGAAGGAGAGACAGAAAGATCTTCATCCACTGATTCACTCCCCAAGTGGCTGAAGCAGTTAGAGCCGAGCTAATCCAAAGCCGGGAGCCCCAGGAGCTTCCTCTGTGTTGCCAACATGGGTTGCAGGGCCCCAAGGTTTTCGGCTGTCCTTGACTACTTTCCCAGGCCACAACCAGGGAGCTGGAAGGGAAGTAGAGCAGCCCAGATACAAACTGGTGCCCATGTGGGATCCCAGTGCCTGCTAGGTGAGGACTTGAGCCACTAGGCTACTGTGCTGGGCCTTGGACCTGCTTAGCTCCCCACGAGTTAGAATATTTTTACACAGCCCTCAGCATTAATAATCTGGCATAATAAAAGTTTTCAAAGGAAATAGCCCCATCTCCTTTGTTGCATCAGAGGTACAGTAATACAAATATTAGTAAAGCTTGGTTTAGTTTTTATTATCATTGTTACTTAAAGGTTTATTTATTTATTTATTTGAAAGAGTTACAGAGAGGCAAAAGGATGGGAAGGGAGGGACGGAGGAGGGAGGGGGGAAGAGAGAGAGAGAGAAAGTGAGAGAGAGAGAGAGAAAGGTCTTTCATTCACCTGTTCACTTCCCTGATGGCCACAACAGCCAGCGCTGGGCCAGACAAGATCCAGGAACCCAGGCGCTTTACCCAGGTCTCCCGCCTGAGGTCAGAGACCTTAACACTTGGGCTGTCCTCCACTGCTTTTCCTAGGCCATTGCAGGGAGCTGGATGGGAATTGGAATAGCTAGAGCCCATGTAATATGGCAATGCTGCAGACAGTGACTTAACCGACTGCTGGCCCCTAGTTTCATTATTCTTATTATTAAAGGTTTATTATTTATTTATGTGCTTTTTACTTGAAAGGCAGAGTGATAGGAAGAGCCAGAGAGATCTTCTATTCCTCTGGTTCACTGTGCAGGTACTCAACAAAACTTTTTGGCCAGGCTAAAACCAGCAACCGGAAACTCCATCTGAGGCTCCCACATGGGTAGCAGTGGCCCAGGCTCTTATGCTATCCTCCACTGCTTTCCCAGGCACAGTAGCAGGGAGCTGAGCTAGAACTTCAGCCAGCACTCTGTTACAGGGTGTCTGCCTCACAAGTGCAAGTGAACCACCCCTACAAGTTGCTTCCACATCTTCTTACTTCCTCTTTTTCCTTAAGCCACTCTCACTTTATGTACTTGGAGATTTGTGTATTTATTCACAAGACAGAGTGACAGGGAGAGAGAGAGTCCAGTCCCCACATGTCTGCACAGCCAGGGCAGGCGAGGCGAGGGCGGGAGGCAGGACCTGCACCCAGCTCTCACACAGGTAGGAGCATCTCATCCTTCCCCGGTGGGTCGGCAGAAGCTGAACCCCGACGGCCACTCTGGCAAGGGATACTGTGTCCCGGTATTCACCATACCTGGCCCTTTATTTAATTTTTGATGATTTGCGAGGCAGAGAGACCACGGGCAATGAGAGTGAGGTCTCATTTACTGGTTTGCTCCCCAAAATACCTGTAATGGCCCAGGTTGGGCCAAGCCAGGCC